ATAAAAAGGAGTAAGTATAGGCAAATGCTCTGCCACTGAGCTGCATCTCCACCCCTGAAAGGAGTTAAATGTCAAGGAGGTTGACAATGCTTCTGCCAAGCTTGGGGCAGAAACCGGAAACAAAACCCGACTTTCTCAATTTTAAAAGGACCACGGATATCAACAATTTCTTTCAGGTACTTTTTACGACCTCTTGAAACAGGTGCTGTACTTGCAGCACGCTTCAAGCTTAGCCAGCTATCACAGTTAAGCCCCTCAGTACCATGGTGTTTTGAATCTCAAAATCTTTATTTATTTATTTTTTTCTAAAGTCCTGGAAAAAGCATGAATATTTATGACCAGGCTGACTTTTGATACTCCACTCTTCCCAGCAGTGGGTTTAAAAAGTAAACTAGTGCAGGAGGTACCAGGACTTGCTCACTGAGTGCTCTTGGAGTCCTACCAGGAAGCCTACCTTTATAACTACCTCCTCCTGGCATGTGAGCGGGTCTCACCCTGTAGGAGAAGGGTGGTTAGGGAAAGACCCAACTCACCTTAGCTCATCACCTGGAGGTGGAAAGCAGCCCCTACCATTTGCACGACTCAGCTGATAAACAAAAGGGCTCATTCAGGGTAATGCGGTAGAAAAACAAGGCTTTTGGCATCTAAACCTCCAGCACATCACAAACTTCCTGCTATTATCTAATAACCCCCCTACTCAGCCATCACTGTTTCCATGGTAACCGACAGAGAAATAGCAGCCTGCCAAACGGCTTTTGTAGTTCCTTTTCCAGTTTGTTCTTCTGGGGAGAATTAAAGCTAGCTGGGAAAAGAACCAGGCTAATCTTTACAATAGGGATGTGGTAGTTTGAAAAATACAACTGAGTTTGGGACAAGAAGTGCATAGCAGCTTTCCTGACCTACCCCATCAAATAAAAGGTCCACTGAGGTATATTCAGTAAGCTTCTCTTGGTCTTCAGACAGGATAGTGTGGCCCTGGCCAGGACACATGTATGGTGCTCCTCACTCAACCTCTGGGATGAGCTATGCAAAAGAGGTGGGCTGAGTGCAAGAGCTAGATCAAACAGGTCAAGAAAGGGGAGTGTACTCTAAAATCTAAACGAGTGAGCCAGAGGGGACAGACTTGGACTAGAGAACAACTGGGGAAAAAATCAACACCTTGAAGGATAATGATTAATCCAGGTGAGGCATGCTGAAAGCTGGCTGCCCAAGCCATGAATCAAATCAGAGGGGCACTGCTTAGGAAACAAAGATCTGCCCTGTGTAGGGACTGACTATGAGGAATACAGCATAGACCTGGGGCAGCCCTCAGAAGATCTGTGGCTACCGAGATCTGCTCAAGGTGCCAAGCTGTCAAACAAACAGCTGCTGGGAGGGTGGGAGGACCAGATAAGATGGGTCTCTGAATGAAAAGAAAAAAATTTAAGCCTATTTCTCTTTGGAAGTAGCCTAAAACATGCTTTTGCCTCAAAATTGTATTTCATGAAGAACAGGAAATCTCTTGTCTTTTGGGTGCATCAGATGAGAGACTGTGACCCCATGCATGTCTCAGCAGCTCATTTAGTAGGTCAAAGCTCCAAGTTTCAAGGGTTCCCTCCTACAACCTTTAATATACCTCAAGTGTCTTGTTGACAGACATGAAAATCACAGTCGACAGTGGCATTCCGAGTACAGATCTACCAGTCAGACTCCCACAAATCCCACACAGATTAACCTCATTTATGCTTTTGAATTTATACTTGTACTTTGGGTTGTATGAATCACAAGTCATGTTCTTAGAGTTTAGATAAAGTTGACAAAGATCTGCAATAACTATCTCCCTTCATCCATCAGAAAAAGCACTGTTTATAACAAGATACAGATGTCCACCCTAAGAAACACTGCCACGGCTGTCCACGAAAGGCCTCTGCACTGCTGGCTTAGTTACACTTGTAGAATTACAGATCTCTGAGATCTGGCAATGAAAGCTGAAGGAATCTTTTCAGAAGTTTAAACTTGGGTCCTGTTTACCCAAGAATGGAACTTCTAAGCTGTATTTATTTATGTGTAATTGCTATTTCAAATATGTTAACATTCAGTTTCCCCATCTTCAACAAAAGTCAGAACTGACAGGACACACACAAACTGGATTAAATTCAGTCATGGTTAAGACAAAGCCAGAAGCCAAAACTTCAGAGCCAAGAGATTGTGGCACTGACGTGTACTTCCTCCCAAGCCCGTGTCCTGAGCCAACTTTCAGACTACAAATAAATGTCCCTACTTATCAGACCTAGATTTCCATCAAATTGGCCTCCATAGTTACGGCAGACTTCCTGCTGCCAGCAGGCTGAGGGGGACTTGAGCAGCTGGAGTATCTCGTGGCCCGCGCTTCCACTGTGCTCATCAAGGCAGCCTTGAAGAA